GTGTTACCCTCCTGAAGAATTTATTTCTATCTCAGAAACACGAGCTGAAATTAAACTTCAGGCCATATTGAATAAAACAACTGAACGCTTAATTGAAACAATAAGTCAATTTTCCGAAAATGCATCCTCTAATTTGTCGCTTACATTAATAAGCAAATGGGGATGTGACGGAAGTTCTGGCCACAGTACCTATAAACAAAGATTTGAGAACTCCGATGATAATGATGAATTTCTTTTTGCATTTGCGTTTGTCCCGTTGAGATTGAGTGATGACTCTAATACTATTATTTGGCAAAATCCTCGGCCATCGTCAACACTTTATTGCCGACCAATTAAATTTATATTTTCAAAAAAAACACAGGAATTTACTTTAATAGAAACAGACAAAGTTTTGAAAGAAATATCTGAACTTTTTCCAACACTGTGTACTGTTGGCGAATTTAAATTCACTGTGAAGCGCAATCTGTTACTTACAATGACAGACGGAAAAGTTTGTAATGCTTTAACCGATACGCGCTCTACACAAAAATGTTATATTTGTGGTGCTACTACAAAAATGATGAATGGCGAATTAAAAGGTATGGTTGATAAAAAAGAAAATTACAATTTTGGTTTGTCTACTTTGCATGCATGGATACGTACATTCGAATGCTTGCTACATATTAATTACCGTTTAGACATTAAAAAGTGGCAAGTTAGAAGCAATGGGGATAAATATCGTATGAGAGAACGTTCGGAAGAGATTAGAAAAAAGTTTAAAAAACAAATGGGACTAATTGTGGATAGACCGAAACCACATTATGGCAATACAAATGATGGCAACACAGCTCGCAGGTTTTTTTTAAATCCAGAAAAGAGCGGAGAGATTACAGGATTAAACGTCGAATTAATTAAAAAATTTAGTGTTTTATTGAGAACGCTATTTTCTGGTCATGAAATTAATTGTGTCAAATTTGAAAAACTTTGTTTCGAAACAAGGACTTTATATTTACATTTATATTCGTGGTATTACATGCCGGTTACAGTCCACAAAATTTTAATGCATAGCACGGAAGTTATTAGGTCGTGTATTCTTCCGATTGGACAACTTTCAGAAGAATCTCAAGAAGCACGAAATAAAGATTGTAGGAGATTTCGAGAACATCATACCAGGAAAAATTAACGCATTTCTACAAATATGGATTTGTTCAATATGCTCTTAATAACATCTGACCCTGTTATCAATTCACTTAGAGAGCTGCCTGCAATAAAAAGCAAAAAATTGCCAGTAGAGGTTTTGAATTTGATTGTTCCGGCTCCAAGAATTGCAAATTGTAACTTGTTCGATGAATCAAATGATGAGTCATCTGAAGATTCAATAAATGAGTGTTTAGAGGATATAAACGACGAGTTTTCTGATAACTAATTATAAAATTTATTGTATAATATTATGTATTCTTGCTTTACAAATATATTTATTACTTCTATTTTTATTATAAGAGTGGTTGCTGCAATGAGGGAAAATAGGGGGGAGGGGGTAGTAGTTAGGGGTAGGGTCCCTTATCCTCCGCAAATAAAAACGTATAATTTATTAAACTCAAGTTAATTATTCAATAAAACAACAAAATATTATTTATTTCAACCTTTCATGACTAGAAAAATCGAATTCGTGAACAAAACATTTTTGTCCAGCTAGATTGTATGAGTCGATTCACTGTGAGTCATGCCGAAGGCCGAAAGATTTCAAAAGAAAAAAACTAAGGAATTATCAAAAGCAGCAGTATCACCTTAGCAGATTAAAATTACTAGTTTGTTGGAAAAAACAACAACTGAACCGGTGGAGCCAGAAAACTCTCACGGTGAACTACAGAATCAGGATAAAGTTGACATAGGCAGTCAAAAAATAGACAATACAGAAAAACTGGAGTCCAATGCAAAAGATGGTGAAATTCTAACAGAAAATATTGTTAAAAAAGCGGAGGATTTCCGTGAAATTGATAAAAAAAAAACAGTGACAGAAATGGAAAAGCTTGTATTAAAGCTTGATTTAATGAGTTTAGTTGGTTATTTTATGATCGATCACTAAAATCTATCATTTGTAAACCTGTACAAAATATGATTCATGTTCTGGTGGAGAGTTCAAGCATGGAGTCGGATGATGATTGAAAACCATTATGTTTTATCTCATGATATCTTGCAAGAGCAAGAACAACTTCTCACCTTAGAACCACGATGGCAGATTGTTAAACTGATTAAAGATAAACATTTCTATTCAGAACTTACAGATGAATCCTCAGATAGTACTAAGTAGGAACAAATGTTGTTTAATATTAGAACTTGCTGTGACAGCTATGAAGTAAATGAAGATTTTATCGGAGTATATGAATGCTGTTACAAGAAATTAATCTGACAGATAATGTCGCAGTATTCTGCATTCGAAATATGTCTCAGAGATTTGCAGAACTTAGGTCAGATATGGAAATTAACAGAATTTTAAAGGCGACAAAAAATTACCTAGAATCAAGAAGGACAATGATTCTGAAACCAAAGTTACGCAGAGACAAAGAGTAATACCTAAAACATTACGTGATTCTATAATTACTGAGAATCTTACATAGGGCGGTGCAATGGCTGGTCCTGCACTGTACACGCGATTCGTAATAGTAAAAGTAGTAGACAAAGTGACATTTTTGTGTATTTTTTGGAGAACGTAGAGTTAATTAAAAAGTTTATTTATATTAGATATTATATAAAGTAAAATATTATGTTGATATTTTGGCAAGTCTTCTTTTGTTTTTGCTTGCCATCCCTGCCCTCAGGCCTTTTCGGCGTGCCTGAATATGTTACCTTAATAAAAATAATTGTAAGTAATTGGAACCACGTAAGATAACGTGGATACCACCAATGGGAACCACGTAGGATAACGTGGATACCACCAATAATAACAAATTATCCATTGGATAATTTGTTAGATATGACAGGAAAAACCCTTCTTATTTTGTATACTATCTTGTAACGAATTTAGTTTTAAAACGAGGAATAAAAAGTTTACTAAAAATTATAGATCTATCGCCCAAAATGGAATGATGAAGGTAAATTTATTAATTGCCTCAGCATGATCAAATTCAAAAGACAAAACCACAAAACAAACACTATATTAAAAACCGTAGGAATCCAGAGAGAATTAGAAGACCACCCAAATACTTGAATAAATGATAGCTCAGAAAGCAACAGTTACATTCAATATATTGACTACTAAACTTGTAAAAGTATCCACTTTTTGTAGCGATGTAATCCACTTTTTATAGTGATGTCATCCAAAGTGAAGAAGCCTGAGAATCGATAAATGCGATTAAAATATAAATAATAAATAAAAAAGAAATAATATAAAAAATCACTAAAGGAAAACCTTACACATACTTACCTTTTCAAATGGTAAAAATCTGAATGGAGGGAAATAAATTTAGTAAATAAGGAACCTGATTATTCAATATTTATAGCTTTATCTCATATTTTTACATCATATTTACACCCCAATATGATGTCATTTATGTGACTGTTACAGTACCTCCATTTTTATTTGATATTAAGCTATCAAAAATATCACCACTTTTTACTTTTTTTAACATTATGGAATTTAAATAAGTTACAAAATTTTTTGACCTTTATAAAGAAATTGTTATTTGAATCTGCTTCGATAAATGTTCCAGTCATGAATATTACTTCTGCATGCCAAGAGGAGATTTCAAACTAAGAAAGCACTTCAAGCTCTGTGGCTAAACTAATGTACACATTTTTTTTTTACCACTATTTACTAAAGTTATAATAAAAATGTATCCATCAAGCAATTCATCAGAAACATCAATTTGATAAAGAAGTTTCAAGAAGTGTATTTTTCTCTCTGTCTTTAGTACATTAGTTAAGAAGAGAAATTCTTATAAACTCAGTCTGTTCAACTATCCTAAATAGCAAGTCTGTCAAGTCCATCAAAGTGAAGAATAGTTGATAATGATGAAATATAAAAAGATCATCATTATCAGTTGTTTTGTAATTTACGCTCCTTTAGTTACAACGTTCTCGGCTTCTCTAAACAAAGTTAATGTAAAATCAGAAACACCAATTCCTAAATCAACAATACCAATTGCCACTATTGCAGTGTGTTTTTTAATCAAAGCTACCTGCATGACAGCATTTATTTATTTATATGAAATAGTTTTAAGTAAAAAAACAAGAGAGATAGATTCCTTTTCGTATTTGATGAGTTTAACTTCTTTGATGAGTTTACTCTTCTTTAACTTGTTTAGTTTTATTTTTATTCTTTTATTAAAATGTTGGAAGGTTTAAATTTAAAATTAGAATTTCTTAAAAAAAAACTTGAACATAGATAATATTTTATGTAAAAGAATTTTAAATTTATCTGATATTTTCTAAGACTATAACTGGGAACCTTAAAAAATTCAAGATTTTATAAGTTTAAACATCACACAGCAGTCAGGTTTTGTACAACATAAAATTTTATTATCTCCGGTATAAGTAGTTTTGAAAAACCTCTTTGCCAGTAGAGAGTTTAAAACAATCGAGATTTTCTCTAATCTTTTCAACAAAAAACATTTTGTCTTACTTGAGTATGCTTTATCATAAAATATGATATATGGGCCAAAGATTGAAGTCTGGTACAAAAAGCGCATTTATTTTTTAATTTTTGATATACATTACTCAAATTATGAGATGAATTGTTTTTAAAAATTTTGAAAATAAATTTATTCACTAGTAATATTAAGATTGAGGCACCTTATGAAATTCAATCTTCAAATTTAAAAAAGTCATTTTTTTAGAAACCCTACAGTACATTATTACTATAGAAAATTCTACAGCATTTTCATTATTCAAAATAGATAGATTTGATTCTGCTGAATCATATCTATCTATTTGAAATAGACGTTGGACCATTTGTAAAAAATATGTTACTCATTTACAGTACCTGTTTTTTACGATATAACAACTTAAATTTTTTTCTATAGTTATTTCAGAGTTTGCTAAAGATATTAAATTTGTCACCTTTTGGGGTCAAAATAAAGCAAATGCTGCATTAGATACGGTAGAGTTACATTTGACAAGCTTGTGCTCAACAGATTCACCGTATTCGACTATTGTTGTGGGGTATGTTAACAGATATGTTGATTACACTAATAAAGGTTTGTTGATAAATTATTTATTAAAACTATATATATATATATATATATATATATATATATATATATATATATATATATATATATATATATATATATATATATATATATTTCTCTAATCTATATATTACTTATATTTTATGTTTAATTTTTATTTTAAACTTATATTTTATGTTAAATTTTTGCGCAAAATTTTGTTGGTTGAAGCCTAGAAATAAAAATAGTCTATAAGGCAGCCCCAATGAAACTTAAAACTAGATAAAGAAAATCAACTGAGTTTAAGATAGTATATTAAGATATTTAGTAACTTATTGCCCTATCATTTGGGGTTCAACCCTTTTTGGGTATTTTTCTTCAAAGGCTCCAATCACCCCAATTTTTAAAAAACATTCTTACTTGACATAAGCATGAACTTAAATTTTAAATTTTCGCAACGTCTAAAAATGCAATATATATATATATATATATATATATATATATATATATATATATATATATATATATATATATATATATATATATATATACAGAACAATGTTCAAGTCAAGTCTAACTCAACTAGGGGTAGCTTTAAATACTGAATCAACTTTAAATTATCACCGTGCAAATAGAAATAAATAAGAATTTTTTATGCAATTAAATTTTAGTCTTTCTAAAGAACAGAATAAATCTATTAAAATATCTTAATAATGAAAAATAAAAAAAAACACAAGCAATTTTTTGAGTTAAAATATACAATTTAATAATAGTAATAATGATGGTAATAACAATAATTATAATAAAAATGATAAAAGTATTATATTGCTCGGAAAATTATATATAATTGTGCGGAATGTGAGTAAGTTTTTTTTAAATAAAATAATTTTAACTTAATAAAATAAAGTTGAATCGTAAATACTGTTTTTAAAAATCTTCATAAGCAGCAAAATATAAACTTTTAACAAGCAAAATGTGATAAAAATCAAAATAGGTTAAAGTTATTATTATTATTATTATTATTATTATTATTATTGCTATAGTTATTATTGTTATTATTATTATTATTATTATTATTATGATTTATTGTACCGCAACAAGCTATAGATTGTGTAGCCAATTCTGGTTGTGGCGGCCTACATAAAAATTTACAAATTATTTTGAATTAAGTTAATTTAATGGGAATAAAGCCAATTTCATCGTTAATCATCTTCAAGGTTTTCTGATTTAAAAAATTTATTCAATCTTGCTTTGAAACTATTTACAGTTGTGGCACTGATTATGTTTTTAGGCAATTTATTCCAAGTGTTCACCACACGATTTGTAAAAAACTGATGACGCTGTTCATTGTTTTTAACTAACTCTCTAACTAGCTTAAAGTTATGACCTCGCGTTCGACTTTAAGCTAGTTAGAGAGTTAGTTTGATTAAAATTTCTTGGATAAGAGAGCGAATTTACGTTACACCAATTTACAATATCGAAGCCATTTATTATTTTAAAACATTGTATTAGGTCACCTCAAACTCTACGGTCAACAAGAGATTGAATACCAATAATTTTCAATCTTTTTTTGTAATTCAATTTTCTGAGAGATGGAATCAAACGAGTTGCTCGGTGTTGTACTTGTTCAATTAGAATTATGTCATTTTTTTGCGAATTCAAAATGATTCAATTAAACATACATTAAAGTATTTTTGTTTTAACTTGATTTAAGAAGTCCTTTAAAATTCTCTCAAACGTTTTAAGTTTGGTCTTAAAGGATAAATTTTTTCTAGAGTGTCAGTGAGAATCTTAGGATATTGTATTACGGAATCAGGTGCTATCGTATAGTTTAATTGTAGGGCATTGAAAATAATTTTTTTGTTTTGCTCATCAATCAAATTATTTTATATTTAATAATTATACCATCAATGTGCTAGAAACTTGATGTATAACAACTTTTTAAGAGTCGTAAAAGAAAGATCTACTAAATATTTCTGTCAGAGGACCGTTAATTACTTTGCCACATAGGAAGTTGTTGTTACAAAAGTATTTCGTAAAAAAAGACATATTCCAAGTGTAGAAAAACCTGCAAGAATATTCCTGGCAATATATGTTGTGCTATATGCTGGTGTCAATATGGCAATTAAGTCGTGAATTATAGTTATATAATTATATAACTATATAGTTTTTCGTGAATTGGATAAAAATCAATTAATTTAACATTTAGAATTAACTTTGTTTAGTTTATATTTTTTGCGTGAAAGGATCTTTAGTTGACATGTTTAATAGTTACACAGTTCCTCAGTGTGAAGGAATTGTTAAAATTACCATTTCATTTTTCCATCATTGATAAAATTTAATTTCAATGCTCTCAATTATTGTTGTAAATAAAACCGCACATTGTAATTAGCTGCCGACGTTTAGCAGACACGCACTGTTCTACTAGTTTTGTGACAGCAGCGAGGGGACAAATCACTATTACAAAAAATTTAAATTTACTAAGTTTGAATAAAAAAACCCTTCAAAGATGCATTGATTTAAAACTACCCCTGATTTAGAACTACCTCCTTCTCTATATATAAAAAAGGTAACTTTGATGGCGTTTTTAAACAACAAGTTGTCATTATTGAAATAGTAGAAATACGAATAAATTATCTCTTCATCGTTCTTTTTCTGTCTAAATAACTTTTATTACAAACACAAACATTAACCTATAAAAAATTATTTTACTTAGATTTATTACCTGGAATGGATTTTTCAATACATTGCGCAAAACGAAAGTCTTCTTTTTTATTCTGCCCACATATTGGAAGAGATATACGTTTCTGTCAAGAACGTGCTAAAAAAATTTTAATTGGAATTGGAGGTCCAGGTTCTCCTGCTAAGTTTGAAAGTGCTGAAGGAGCTGAAGAATTTGCTAAACTTATTTGGAATCTATTTCTTGGAGGCGAAGAGGCAAATGATTTGCGTCCATTTGGAAAGTAACAAATAAAAATTTGTTTCTAAATTAAAAGTTCCATTTTATTTCTAAAAAATAAAACTAATTTTTTCTTTTTTTAGCGTCATCGTGAATGGTATTAATTTTTTTATGCAGAACAACAACCCACTACACAGCAATGTATTTATTCAAACGCTTAATTATTTGAGAAGTAAAGATCTATCAAGACAGTATTTGATAACTATTTCACCTTCATGTTTGTTTCCTGACCCGTTTTTTGGACCACAAGGGAATAAGATACTTGACATTTCAAAAAAGATTATTGATGAAGTAAGAAATTAAAAATTTTTTATAAGTATTAACATTATGCTTTAATTCAGGACATATATTATCAGAGTTAGTTTCATTAGAGAATAGTTTTTTCTTTTTAGAATAGGGTAGTTTTGATTTTTCATATATTTAATGACCAAAACCGAAAAATAATCTCGCATACTAAACTCACTCACAGGTGTTTTTGTATTTTATCAGTAAAGATTACTACAAATTTAAAGATGTTGACCGACGTTTACAGATGTAGTAATTTTTTTTAATAAAATTTACCCAAATATATTTTTGTAAGAAAACGTTATAAGATTCACAAAAAGATCGCTTGACAGCTCCTATCTAATAACTCTGAATATTTATTTACGATTCAACAATATTACATAACATTTTTCTGGTACAAATTTTCTCTGGAGTGACACAAGTGGGTCAAGTTCACTTTTGCTTATAGAAAGATGTGTTCTTATACAAATAAATAAAAAGATGTATTGTTATTCAAACAAGTAGAAAGATGTATTTTTATTCAAACAAGTTGGAAGATGTATATTTATTCAAAAGTTATAGGAAGATGTATTGTTATTTAAACAATTAGAAAGATGCTTTTTTTCAAACAAGTAAAAAATTGTATTGTTATTCAAACAAATAGAAAGGTGTATTGTTATTTTAAAATATAAAAATTTATATATTTTATAAAATTGTTATTCAAACAAAAAAATATATATATTGATACTCAAACAAACAGGAAGTTGTATTGGTAATCTTGGAAAGTTCCGGTATAACTAATAATACACAGAAACCGATCCATGTCTTTAACAGAACAATGTATTTAGCAAAAAACAACAAGTTAATAATCAATAGGTTATTCATACAAGTATGAAGATACACAACTTGATATATACATATATATATATATATATATATATATATATATATATATATATATATATATATATATATATATATATATATATATATATATATATATATATGTATATATATATATGTATATATATATACATATATATATATATATATATATATATATATATATATATATACATATATATATATATATATATATATATATATATATATATATATATATATATATATATATATATATATATAATTTAATTCAATATCTTCTGAAATAAGTTGTAAAATTTCAAGGACTTTTACAAATAGTACAAGTACTAATCTAAAGTAAAAACCTACAACATTACAATAAAAGTGATTATAATAACAATAATAATAGTATTGATAATAATTATAGAAATAATATTAACAATAATAATAAGATGACGATGAAAAGGAATATTATTAGTAATAATACTAACAATAATAATAAAGATATTATACAATCAATATTAGATAATAGCAATAATAGTGGTAATAACAATTACATAGTATAATTAGTAAATAAACTTAAGAAAAAATTAAAAAAGCAATAATAATACTTATTATGTTATAAATAAAAATAACAATTTACTAATAAAGATAGAAGAATATTATTAATATCAATACTAATAATAACAATAAAAATATGAGAACAAAAAGTTAATAATAAAACTAGTAGGTATCAAGAAAGTAGTAATAATAAAAGCATATTGATTTTTTGACCACTCAGCCTAAAATTTAGGTGTTTACTGATTTTAGATTGTTTTGATTTAAAGATGATAATTTCGGTTTTACTAGTATTCAGAGACAGTTTGTTAGATCGAAGCCATTGAATTAGATTAGATAGATCATGATTAATAGATTTGTTTATTTTTTTTAATGATTTATTAATTAAAAGTAAGTTAGTGTCATCAGCAAAATGGTAGGAAGTTGTATATTTTAATGATAAATTAAGGTCATTAATGAAAACAAGGAAAAGCAATGGCCCTAATACAGAGCCTTGAGGTACACCTGTAGTGCATTTTACTAAAGGAGATGTGTTACCGTTAATAGATACAAATTGAAACCTATTATAAAGATATGAGGTAAACCATTGGAGAGAAATTCCTCTAATACCATAGTGTTCCAGTTTACTTAGAAAAATAGAATGATCAACAGTGTCAAATGCTTTCTGTAGATCAACAAACACACCACAAGCAAAAAGCTTATTGTCAAGAGCTTTTCTGATAACCTCAGTGATTTCAATAAGTGCATGCGTTGTGGAATGCTTGCTTCGAAACCCATATTGGTGTTTGTAAAGACATTGATATTTATCTAAAAAGTTGTAAAGTCTGTTGTGCATAGCTTTTTCAAATATTTTACTGATGTTTGACAGTAGCGAAATTGGGCGATAGTTAGTGTGGTCAATTCTAGAGCCTTTTTTATAAAGTGGAATAACTTTAGCTATTTTAAAGACATCTGGAAAAAGTCCATTTTCAAAAGAGCTATTTATCATTGTACAGAGAAGCTTTGAGATGATATGGGAAACAAGTTTGAGAAGAAACGTGGGAATACTATTGATATCTAAATTTTTTTTACTTTGTAAACTTTTTATAAGATTTGATACTTCATTTTCAGTGACTGGATCTATAAAATAGGAGTTAATATTTGGGTTATTTAAATAGTCTGAAAAATTACATTTAGGTGAAACAATATTTGTTAACAGTGTTTGTTGAGTATTTACAAAGTAATTATTAAATATGTTTGATACAGCTTTGCTGTCTGAAATTGTATTGCCATTAAATTTGAGATTAATAGATTTACTGGAAAAGGAAGAAGGTTTGATATTAATAATTTCTTTTATCCTATTCCAAGTATTTTTTACATTGTAAAGATTATTGTTAAAAAAGTTGATGTAATATGATTTTTTAGAAAGTTTTAGTAAATTGCAAATGTTATTTCTGTACCATTTAAATTTATTAAAAATATGAATTTTAATGTTATGATTTTTTGCTTTTATATATTTTTTATATAGTTTGTTTTTAATAGATATTGATTTTAGAATTCCATTGGTGATCCAAGGTTTTGATTTAAGTTTTATTTGTTTAGCAGTTAGTTTTTTATAGGGCGCATGTTGATCAAGAATTTTGTTAAAAGTTTTAAAAAAATAGTGCAATGATTCATTTACATTATTGTTATTTGTAATTTGTATTGGCCAGTCTGCATTAGAGATATCCTTAACAAATTTTTTATTATCGAAATTTTGGAAGGTTCGTCTGAATATTACCTCCTTAGTTTTTTTGGGAGAAAGACAAGGAATGCAGATAAACTGTGCCATATGATCAGAAATCGATATTGTAAGATTGCCTGAAATTAAATCAGGAGTTTGGAAATTTAAAAAGATATTATCAATGAGTGTCTTAGATGTAGAAGTTATACGTGTAGGTTGAATTATAGAAGGGAAAAAAGAATAAGAACATAATGTATCAAGATAACTAGAGATAACTTTCGATCACCCATAAGGACAACTTGTTTATTTTCTAAACTAAGCCTCTCAAGCAAGGGATTAAAATGATCAGTAATGAATTCATTAGAGTTCATTGATGGATGTCGATATATAGTGCCAACAATAATATTTTGTTTTAGGGGATTGACGATTTCAACAAAGATAGATTCCAGGTATTTCGGAGAGTATACTATTAGATCACTACGAATAAAATAGTTTAAGTTTGAGCGTAAATATAGAAGAGCACCACCTTTTTTGGTCTCAGTAGGACTATGCTCAATAATAAAACTTATATACATATATATATATATATATATATATATATATATATATATATATATATATATATATATATATATATATATATATATATATATATATATATATATATATATATATATATATATATTATTTTAAAACATCAAAAATACGATTTCTCTCAACACTTATAATTTTTTTATTATTATAGAAATTTTCGCTGGATTTTAGATACCAGCTTCTTCAGCTTGTTAAATGTTACAGTAATTAATAAAATCGTTATAATTTAAATTAAAACGTTGCTATTGACGTCAGCTGTTGAATGGCTTCTTTTTCGCTGAAATTTAAAAAATGGCGTCCAAAACTTAGTTTTTACGTATTGACCCTCATCGAGATTAATCCCGCCATTTTTTGCAGAACACATGTTTTTTTGTATTTCTAGGGCTTCCCTAACTTTTCTTTCAAATTTTTTATTTTCTACTTTTAATGTTTTTGTTTGTTCCCAAATAATTTCTTTTTTGCAAAATGTTTTATGCAGAGCTAATGCGGATTGATGCTGCTTATTTTCATCAATGCTTTTTTGGTGTTGATGCATTCGTGTGTTTACTTTCATTTTTGTTTCGCCTACATACACTTTTGAACAGTTGCATTTGATTATATATGTTCCCGGTTGACTGTTATTAGGTAGTTTTGATTTATTTTTTGATGTTAACAGGGATCTTAAGTTTGGGTTTGATTTGAATACCGCTCTGTAACCAGCTTTTCGGAATATTTTCCTAAGTTTTGGTGAGAGACCGGGTACCCATGGTAAGGAAACTACAGGATAATTATTGATTTCAGATGGAATTGTAATTTTATTTTGTCTTTTGTGTTGAAACTGATGCGCAATATTCATCATTTGAGTTTTATCGTAACCATTTTCAACAAACACGTCGATTAGAAAATTTATTTCATTTTGCAAGTAAGACTTACTACAGATTGAGTAAGCTCGGTGGAGAAATCCTTTAAAAATAGAGTTCAAGATATTTGGATCATGATTTGAGTGTGGCTTAATTTGAATGTTAGTGATAGCATCTTTCCGATATACTGCGTATTCATACTTTCCTGTTTTTTTATTCATAATTTGTATATCCAGATAATTTAGTGTTCCTAACTCGTTTTCAACTTCAATTGTATACTGGATGGAAGGATGTTGTTGATTTAAAATGTATTGGAAATGTTTTGCTTGGTTGAGATCTGGAAACCTTGCGTGACTATCATCGACATATCTTAAGAACGATTTGAGGTTAAGTGCAGGGTTGAAATTTAGTGCAACTTTAATTGCATTGTTTTCATGGAATTGTAGAAATGATTCTGCAAGAACGACCAT